ATAAATTATTATGTAGAACAGTCCATTGGGTTGCTTTGTGATCACAACAGATTTGCAATTTTGGGCCATATTTATTAGGGAAAACAGGAGCAATTCTGATGCAATGATGACTTAAAAATGTTCTGTTTTGTGTATTATTATAATTATGCTATCTTTTTTTTTAAAATGTGTTTCGTGTTTCTATGTAATGTTTTTCTGAGAGCACTCTTTTCTTGTAGTATCTTTGGCTTTTCTGAACTTGGCTTTTTTGTTGACCATTTTCTTTATATTGTCCCTGACCTTTGGCTTGTTCTACATTTTACCTTGGCTTGTCATGTTCTATTCAATCTATTTTGTGTTAAATCCAGCCAATCTAAGGCCTGGTAATACACATTAGTCCCCTTTCCTATAAGCGTTTTTACACTTAACTTGGGTTGGGTTATGTTGGGTCATAGTTCATCCTGAGTGTTTAATGTAACTACCTATAAAAACATATAAAGTTTTTCAAAGTGAGATGGCCATTCAAGGAGAAATGTGTTTCAAGAGAAGAGACATCCTTTTACACCTATTTTAACTTTTTGTTTAATTTTTCTGTTTTATTTATTTATCTTTTGTGTTAACTTATTTTAACTTTTCTGTTTTATTCTCTTTTTAATTTAATTTCTGTTCAATAAAGTCTGATTACTATCTTCCTACTGAGGACATTCTTTATCATCAAAGGGTAACTTTGCCCTAAGAGAGACGCCTGCTTAAACAGAGCTTATATGAGAAGGCTGTAATACATATGAGTGTGATAACAGTTTCTTTTTAATATATTTTACTTGAACATACCACACCATATGTGCATTTCCATATTTATTACATAGGACAGGGCTCGGTAAATCCCAGGCACCGGGTGTCTGTGCCGGGTGTGCCTGGGCACACCCTAATCCCGCGGCACGCCTATGTGTATTGAGACCGGCAGGGGAGATCTCAGGATCTCCCCTGTCGGCTCATGCAGAGCCGGCTCTGCTCTCAGCCTCCCTCCCCACTGACCCACATGCAGGGAGGGAGGCAGGAGAGGACCTGGCGGAGCTATTGCCGGCAGCTCCGCCAGGTTCCTCTTGCGAGAGATGAGCGTTGCCACGGCAACGCTCAAATCTCGCGAGAGTGAACTCTAGCCCCACAGGGGGCTAGAGTTCACTCTCCACTGGACCACCAGGGATGGAATCAGCAGCACGATCCCCCCTCCCTACAAAAGGTAAGAAGGGAGGGGGGATAGCAATTAATGTACCCCCACCTCCACACACACATACAGCACCCACACACATACAGCACCCACAGACATACAGCACCCACAGACATACACAGCACCAACACACACACAGCACCCTCACACACAGCACACAAACAGCACCCTCACACACACACACAGCACACTAACGGTACCCTCACAAACACAAACAGGACCCTAACAAACACACACACAGCACACTACCAGTACCCTCACACACAAACAGCACCCTCACATACAGCACCCACAGACATACAGCACCTACACACATACAGCACCCACACATACAGCACACACACACATACAACACCCACACACATACAACACCCACACAGCACCCACACACATACAGCACCCACACAGCACACATACAACACCCACAGACATACACAGCACCCACAGACATACACAGACACACACAGCACCCACAGACATACACAGCACCCACAGACATACACAGCAACCACACACATACAGCACCCACAGACATACACAGCACCAACACACACACAGCACCCTCACACACAGCACACAAACAGCACCCTCACACACACACAGCACACTAACGGTACCCTCACAAACACAAACAGGACCCTAACAAACACACACACAGCACACTACCAGTACCCTCACACACAAACAGCACCCTCACATACAGTACATTAAAAGCACCCTCACAAGCACACACACACACAAACAGCACCCTCACACACAGTACATTAACAGCATCCTCACAAGCACGCACACACAAAAACCCTCACCCACATAGCACACTACCAGCACCGTCACACACACATCACACTAACAGCACCCTCACACAGCACACAAACACACTCAGCAGTGTGTGTATGTGTATATATGTGTATGTATATATATATATATATATACACACATATATATATATATATATATACATACATATATATATATATATATGCGGCGTGTGCTTGTGCTTTAGGGTGCACACCCTAATGCAATAGGCTGCGCACGCCTATGGTGGTCGTGGAGGCGGGCGGCTGGCTGCGTGTACTGTTGCCGGGCCGTGAGGGAGCTGTGATGTCCCTGCTCTGCTCCCCCGCGTGCCGGTTATTGAGACCAAGGTCGGGATATGACGTCAAACTCATAAACACGCTCGCCAACTGGCAAAAATACGCGAAGCCAGCTGCCCGCCTCCACGAGCACCCACCATACAGCTCACCTCCATGACCTCCCAGCATGCCGCCTGCCTGCCAATCCCCCAGCTGGTCGCCCACTGGACTCACAGGTATTAAATCAAACAAAAGTGAGTGTATGTCTGTCATGGTGTGTGTCTGTAAGTCTGTCATGGTGTGTGTATGTGTGTATGTGTCTGTCATGGGGTGTGTGTGTGTGTGTCTGTCATGGTATGCGTGAGTCTTTCATGGTATGGGTGTGTGTGAGTTTGTCAGAGTGAGTGTATGTGTCTGTCATGGTGTGTGTGTCTGTCATGTGTGCATGTGTGTCTGTCTGTTTGTTAGTGTGAGTGTATGTGTCTGTCATGGCATGGTATGTGTGTGTGTCTGTTTGTCATAGATATATATATATATATATATGTGTGTGTGTGTGTGTGTCTGACTATCATTAAGTGTGTTTAGTTGACCAGACCCCTTAAGTTTGCAAGGGAATGGTGTTTTTACTCACCTTTTTTTCCCACTCCAAGCTGGTCAACCCTCGACTGGTCCTGCCTCTATGGCTAAGATTATCAAGCTTGATTATCTCAGCCAATCCCATAGGATTGGCTGCAAAACGCTGCACTAATCAGCATCTATTCATAGAGATGCATTGAATCAATACATCTCTTTGGGGAACGTTCAGCACCTCCATGCAGAGCAAGGAGACGCTGAATGTAGGTGCTACACATTGTGCAACACTGACACAGGAAGCACCTCTAATGACCGTATGAGTGACGGTCACTAGGAAGAAATGTAAACACTGCCTCTTCTCAGAAAAGGAAGTCTTTACATTGAAAAGCCTGCAAGGACAGGCTATAAACACCAGAACCACTACATTAAGCTGTAGTGGTCCTGGCAACTATAGTCTCCCTTTAAGAATTGTATTTTGAAATTAAATATAAAGCTTTGTAAGTTTTTTAAAAATCTGCCTCCTAACTTTTTTAGCTGGCTCCTAGATTTAAAGATTGTCAAGCCCTGATATATGCTATTACTACTGTATAAGGAAGAAGATTATTTATGGAAGGGAAGGAGTCACCCTATAAAGGACTCCAAAGCTAAAGAAGCCGAACCACAGCTTTGGTTTCATTCTTGTGAGTTAGCATTTTACCATTTTTTATAGTTTATCTCACATCCTCTGCCCTATTATTTACTTCTATATGATTTTGTTCTTGAGGTGTCACCAATACTAAAAGAAGGATTAACCCCTTAAGGACCAAACTTCTTGAATAAAAGGGAATCATTACATGTCACACATGTCGTGTCCTTAAGGGGTTAAACAAGCCATAAAGTATTGATGTGTGAAACGCAAATGTACATTGATTTAAAGTGACACAACCACATTAATTTTGCACTGTGTTTTACTATAAGCACGTTACGTTCCACTTTGGAAATTGTTATTAGCTAGATTTGAATTCAGAAGTCTGCTTTTATATGCAGTTTGTTTTCTGGCACTTTGATTGTGAATTTGCACATATGTTATGAAAGAGCACTTTTGTCATTAACTTTGTAAAACTATATATGATTGTATAGTTACATTAACACTATCACAACATACATTGCACATATTTAAGTTCCCAAAGGATAAACCTTAGATGGTTTAGCAGCTAACTCTAATAATTTTAAACATAAATAGTTTGAAATGTATTTGTTTTTTTAGAAACACCCTTTTCACGTATAACCCCACCTATTGCACTTTCATACAGGGCTGGAGTAACATAGGGTCTGATGGAGCTGCAGCTCCAGGCCCAGGCCCATGGAATAGCCCAATTGATTTAAAAAAATTTTTTTTATTTATTTTTACAATCACTACTCTTAAGGTTGTTCACCTGGCCGGTATTTATTTGAGGCTGCCTGGCCGGTGACTATATTGCAGTAATACCGGCAATACAAATGTATTCTGGACTATTTGTGCTGTGTGTGTATAGAGAGGCAGGGATAGGAAGTTACAGCATATACCTGCATTGCTCTGATCCGCAGGGGAGCAGCTACACAGCACAAAGAGTCCAGACAGCAGCTCCCAGCATGCAGAGACAGCCTACAGCTCAGAGAAGTGAGGGATGGGGTAAAGGCTGCAGGGAAACATGGGGACACTAAGACACTAGGGGACACTATGAGACATGGGGACACTGGGAGACCTCTGGGGATGCTGAGACACTTGGGGACACTTGCAGACATAGGGACACAGACACACATGGGGACACTGAGTCAAGGACACACATGGGGAGACTGAAACACTAGGGGACACTGAGATACTGGGGGATATGGAGACAGACACACATGGGGACATAGACATGGGGAAACCGACACACATGGGGACACTGAGACACTGGGAGACATTCGGACACAGACACTAGGAACACAATGTCCCCAAGTGTCTGTGTCCCCATGTCTCCCAGCCAGTGTCCCTGGTGTCTCAGTGTCCCCATGTCTCCCAGTGTCCCTAGTGTTTGTATGTCCATGTCTCCCAGTGTCCCTAGTCTCCCAGTATCCCTAGTGTCTCAGTGTCCCCATGTCTCCCAGTGTCACAGAGACATGGGGACACAGAGACATTGTGATACATAGTCTCAGTGTCCCCATGTCTCACAGTGTCCCCTCGTGAAATGGGGACACTGGGAGACATGGGGACACTGGGAGACAGGGAGACACTGGGAGCAATCCATCTATACAGCAGAATCAAAAGTAGTTTTTTTGGTGATTTCACAGAATTTTCTCTGTCACTCCTTGTGGTTTACATCATGTGATGTCACGCATACATAATTAGTTATGCAAATTAGTAAGGCCTGCAATTTTTTCCATGAAAGGTGGCAACCCTAACTACTCTTCACATACTGTTGCTTAAAGGACCACTCTAGGCACCCAGACCACTTCAGCTTTATGAAGTGGTCTGGGTGCCAGGTACCTCTAGGATTAACCCTTTTTTTTTATAAACATAAAACTGGATTAATACTCAGTTTATACTGAGGGTTAATCCAGCCTCTAAAGCCTCTAGTGGCTGTCTCATTGACAGCCGCTAGAGGCGCTTGCGTGCTTCTCACTGTGAAAATCACAGTGAGAGCACGCAAGCGTCCATAGGAAAGCATTGTAAATGCTTTCCTATGCGACCGGCTGAATGCGCGCGCGGCCCCTGCCGCGCATGCGCATTCAGCCGATGACGTCGCGAGCAAGGAGGAGAGGAGGAGTACAGCTCCCCGCCCGGCGCTGGAGAAAGGTAAGTGTTTAACCCTTTCCTCTCCCCAGAGCCGGGCGGGAGGGGGACCCTGAGGGTGGGGGCACCCTCAGGGCACTATAGTGCCAGGAAAATGAGTATGTTTTCCTGGCACTATAGTGGTCCTTTAAGTATGGAAACTTAAGAGAGATGTAGAGGAACAAAACTTGTGTGGACTAGCTGAAATGAAATTAGTTAAGGTAATGCCGACTTTGGTCTCTCTAACAGTGTGCCATTTTCCCTTTCTTCGACACTCACTACATCCACCTTTTCTCTGTCTCAGACTGTATACCAGGAGCTTCTTCCTTCTAGTAAGAAGGTAAGGAGACAGGTGGACATGTGAGTGCTAGGGGACAGTCCTTAGAAAGCATGGAGCGAGCGCATCATTAGATGCATTTATGCCAAGCTCAGGATGCTGTTGGCCAGCATGCATGATTGGCAGGCAGCCTGACATGCATTCATGCTAGACTAGCCTTCCAATTCTTTGGGCAGACACGCCTCCTTTTTGGGCATGTTCGGCCCTTTCGGAAATTCTGGTTACATGATCCGCCTCAATGGCCCACCCTTTTACACCGCCCATTGACTTACTGCTTCACTGGGCACTGCTTTTAGGGGGTATGGATTTACTTGAAAGATGAAAGCATAATTTAGAGAGAGATTAGCATACTTTAGGAGAATCTGAATTTTTTTTATAGCTGCATCCTATGAGTTTCCCTCCGGCAACATCTCCACCAGATGAGGTATGACTGTTTTAGTGTTTTTGGTCGATAAGATTCTGTACTTAGGCCGCTCATAATTGTCAGCACCAGGCCCACTGGGCTCTTAATCCGGCCCTGCTTTCATATAGTTCATCCTGACACTAATGTTGACAAATATGAAATGCTCTGTAGTGTCTTTTAACTACTTAATATATTGAATAAAAACAAATCACTCAAGATGAACCACAAATTTTAACTGGCTTAAATAATCAAGTAGAGAAAAAGGTAAAGATTTAATTAACACATTCCCTTCAATATTATTTAAGCTCATAGTGATAAATGAACTACTGCCTTCTCTGCTGTTGAATGTCAGGTTACCTTTAACATACATCGATAGCTGCTGTATCATTCATGCTTAAAGTGGCTCTGTCACTCTTGTTCCTGTTCTCTTCCTCTTACAGAATATGTTCTTATTTACTTCAATTCTAATCTATTTCTCTTCAAATTATTCTCTCGGTCAAATTATTTAAAGAAAGTAGAGACTGGAGTCCCTGGGAATAAAAAACAGACTTATAGGTTGAGTGAAGATTCTAGCCACAGGTAAGCTAATTAAAATTATTCATACTTACATGTTTATTTACTAGACTGAGAATTTTGGGGAATTCAAAGTGCAATTTAAATTGAAGGGCAAAGTAGCCGACCTGAAAACTATGTCAACTATGCTTTCAATATGGCTACTTTTGCCTTAAGTTTGAAATTCTGACAATTCTCACTTTTGTAATTAACCATTTTAAGGTAAATTTCCATTCCTTGATAAGATCCATGGCAGCATATTCAGATAGGTATGTCCTCCCCATCAGCTTAGAGGATAGGAAAAGCATCCAGAACTATATTAGGGTACTCCTCCCTTCTGTCCTCAATCTCTGTCCAAAGCTCCAGGCCTTAGAGGAACACTATAACAACTTAATCTCACTGGTGTTGTTATGGTGCCAGGAGGTGACTGGGTACAGTCTAACCTAGTGAAGATTGCACTAATCTGCTCTGCCCCTGGTTTCCCTTGGTTACCTGCTTTTAGAAGCTTCAGTGAGATAGTCTCAGATTGAGAACACATTCTTAAGCAATATGGGGCACTAACCTACCTGAGCTCCTAGCTTTCTCACCAGATGCCATGTCGGCAGCCTTGTAGGGGGGAGCAGCCTTACCCTTGCATCGGAGAAATTAGCCAACCTGTTGAGAGCCCACTCAGATCCCTGTTTCCCCCATTCTGACTGGTGGGTGTTATTCTGGTCTACCATGAGGATGTCCTCCTCCTTTTTGTGATTTAGGGCATTATTACAAAACAAGCATTAAAACATCACAACATGCATGAGATGTACATATCCAAACTTGAGTTGTAGAAGAGGTATATAATATATAGGAGCTCTAGGGTGTATTCTCTGAATTTTATACTGGCATCTGAGTTCTTCATAAATGAGTAAAGGAATGTGTACACTTTTTACCAACCAACCTCTCTGCCTGTAGGTTGTCTCTTTCTTGCTTGTTACCTCTCCTCATTGCAATGGCATCATTTCCATAGACACTGTTCACACCCTAGAAGGTCCCTAAAATTGAGTCAATGCTCTGTAACCAATGGGACTTTTTGGGAACTTGGTTTAAGCCTATTCAGTTGCCTGGTTAGTGGACTTTGGGTGTTGACTAGTATGACCCAAGAATGGTATGTGAAGACTAGTCTGTACAGCAATTTTCAGACATGGAGACAACTGTGGTAAATCTATTTAGCTAGTTTTTGGCTGATATACTCTTATAACAGGCTTACAGGTAACCCATTTTGTGCAGATTGTATCTCTCTTTATTTTATATTGATTGATTTGCTATTTTTGTTTTGTTTATGAGCCCAACTTTGTCCCAATAAACTGTTTAAGTGATAATCTTATTCGAGGCTCCATGGGATTTGCATTTGTTATTAACCCCTTAGTGACCAGAGCGTTTTTCAATTTTCTTACCGTTAAGGACCAGGGATGTTTTTAAATTTCTGCGGTGTTTGTGTTTAGCTGTAATTTTCCTCTTACTCATTTACTGTACCCACACATATTATATACAGTTTTTCTTCGCCATTAAATGGTCTTTCTAAAGATAATCATTATTTTCATCATATCATATAATTTACTATAAACAAAATTAAAAAATATGATGAAATAATTCAACTTTGATGTCCAAAATCTATTACGCATCTACAACCGCCAAAAAACACTGGTGCTAAATAGTTTCTAAATTTTGTCCTGAGTTTAGAAATACCCAATGTTAACATGTTCTTAGCTTTTTTTTTTTTGCAAGTAATTGGGCTATAAGTACAAGTAAGACATTGCTGTTTAAAAATATATATTTTGAAAATGTATCAATAGTGACATTGTAACACTGTTATCTGTCATACATTTCTGAATCATACTTCACATGTACATATTTTTTTAGACAACCAAGGATATTCAATATGGGGTATGTCCAGTCTTTTTTAGTAGCCACTTAGTCACAAACACTGGCCAAAGTTGGCATTTATATTTGTTTGTGTGTTAAAAATGCAAAAAACTATTATGAACACTTTGGCCAGTGTTTGTGACTAAGTGGCTACTAAAAAAAGACTGGACATACCCCATATTGAAACCCTGCGTTGTCTTCTTTTGCAAATGCCATGCCATCATGGGGGTAATTCTCATTCCTGGGCTACCATACGCTCTCAGACGCAACATAACCAATCTGGCAAATTTCAATGTGAAAAGATGGAAAATCAAGCCTTATATTTGACCCTGTAACTTTCAAAAACACTATAAAACCTGTACATGGGGGGTACTTGGGAGACTTCGCTGAACACAAATATTAGTGTTTCAAAACAGTACAGTGTATCACAACAATGATATCATCAGTGAAAGTGCCGTTTGTGTGTGAAAAATGCAAAAAACATCACTTTCATTAACAATATCATCGCTGTGATATGTTTTACTGTTTTAAAACACTAATATTTGTGTTCAGCGAAGTCTCCCGAGTAAAACAGTACCCCTCATGTACAGGTTTTAGGGTGTCATGGAAAGTTACAGGGTTAAATACAGTGCTAGCAAATTAAATTCTCTGGACTTTCGGCCTGGGTTGTCAGGCAGGTCCCTCAAATTGCAATTAATAAATTACTTAATTATATAAAAATATTACAAAAATATGCACGTAGAATTTAAATATATATACATATTTTTATATTTGAAGTCTACGTGTATATTTATGAAATTATTTATGTACAGTATCTCACAAAAGTAAAAACACTCCTCACATTTTTTGTAAATATTTAATTATTTCTTTTCATTTGACAACACTGAAGAGATGACACTCAACTACAATGTAAAGTAGTAAGTTTACAGCCTGTATAACAGTGTAAATTTGCTGTCCCCTCAAAATAACTCAACACACAGCCATTAATGTCTAAACCGTTGGCAACAAAAGTGAGTACACCCCTAAGTGGAAATGTCCAAATTGGGCCCAAAGTGTCAATATTTTGTGTGGCCACCATTGTTTTCTAGCACTGCCTTAACCCTCATGGGCATGGAGTTCACCAGAGCTTCACAGGTTGCCACTGGAGTCCTCTTCCAGTCCACCATTGATGACATCATGGAGCTGGTGGATGTTAGAGACCTTGTGCTCCCCAACCTTCCATTTGAGGATTCCCCACAGATGCTCAATAGGGTTTAGGT